ATTAGACTCACAGTCTTGAAATTTGGTTAGCAGATTCCTCTCATAGGATAGAAATACACTGCAAAATGTGTTTTGTGAAAATCGACCCCTAGGTGGTGTTGTGGGGGTTCAAGGGGCGTTATTGATAATTTTTTTGCATTTTTAAGCAGATTCCTTTCATAGAGTGCAATTCCCCTACAAAATGGGTTTTGTGAAAACAGACCCAGAAATGGCGTTGCGGGGGGCTCAGTGGCGTTATAGACAATTACCCCCATTTTTAAACTGTTAGACGTACAGTCTTGAAATTTGATAAGCAGATTCCTTTCGTAAAGTAGAGAACCGCTACAAAATGGGTTTCACGAATATCAACTACTAAGTTTAATTTCGGGAGATTAAGAGGCGTAATCGATAAATATTTCCATTTTTAAACTATTTGATCATCCTGCTTGAAAATTGGTAGGCATGTTCTTTTCATGAAATAGAGTTCCTCTAACAAAGAGTAAAATGATAATTGACCCCAAAGATGTTTGCGAGGGGTCAAGAGGAGTTACAGAAAAAAATTCCTGTTTTTTATTGTTAGACCCATATACTTGAAATTTGTTAAGCATGTTTCTTTTGTTGAATAGGGATCCACTAAGAATAAATTTTAAGCAAATCAAGTTCTGGGGGGTTGCAGGGGGTTACTGGGACGTATTGACAAAAAAAATTACTTTTTTCGAGCTACAAGGACTATAATAATGAAATTTGGTTTGCATTTTTCTTTTGTTGAATTGAAATCCGCTAAGAGCGGTTATTTTGGAAAACGGCTCTCAACGGGATTACGGGGATATTTATAGTAAAACTTTTGCTTTTTTTCTGTTAGATTTAGACTTGAAATTTGGCTTGCATGTTCAATTTACGGAGTAGAGATCCACCGAAAATTGGTTTTGCGGGAATCCACTTGGTTTTTGAGTTACGAAAGAGCAAACATCATTCTATGCTTCAATTTTAGAGATTTTTAGAAAATACAAATTAGATGAGTTCTGCCCTTTTTTTTTTATCAACAGGTGACAGTTACAGGTATAAGTATATTTTTCAATTCAATCGAATTCTTAATGCTAGGACTTAGATATCAATAATTTATACATATATATAAGCAGTAAAAATTTATAAAACATCATGAAATACCCAGCGAAGCGGGCGGGTAACAGCTAGTATTATTATATATTCTCTCTCTAGTATGTAATATTTTTACCATAACACTTTTTGCCTGGTTTTTTATATTTTTTTTAACACTCGCTTATCTCATGTCTGCTCTTACAGTGAAAAATTCAGTACATAAACTTCCTATCAAATACAAAAACAAAAAAAGACACTCTAAATATTTTTAATATTAATTAAATACCATTCTACCTTATTCTATAACCACGCTTTTAATTTTTTCTACGAAAAGGGTTCTGAGGAAGGGTTTGAAAAGGGTTCTAAGGTTTTCTACGAAAAGGGGTTTCTTCTGAGGGATCAACTTGTATTATCTTTTCCCCACTTACAAAAGTGACCTAGAGTAAAAATCCTGAAATGTTCTGTAAGCCACAGAGTAAAATTTTCTGTAAAATATGTCAGTGTAAAAAATAAATTATACCAAAATTTTTTTGTTTAAATCAAGTATACTGCCTTCAGACGTGCCATAAAGATTAAAATCTTTGAAAAGCTGTGTATTTAACTAACAATCCCTTTCCAATTAAACTAAAAAGAACTGTACCTAATATTATAATAATTGAATAACTGAATTAATAGTTAATTCTTAAAATAGTAATAAATTCTGAAATTAAAAATATTAATATTAAAAATTCTATGTATTTTAAGATAAAAGTAAAAAATGTTAAAAAAGGCTAAATATTGTTTTAAGATTAATCTTATTAAAAATTTTAAAAAAATTACTGTCTTACACTTATGTAAAAAAAAAGATTTATAACATGATCTTGCTTTTAAACAGTATATTACATAGTTGGAAGCGTATGGACTTCAGGCCGCATGCGCATTTCATAGAAGCTAGATCTTGCATTCATTAATGTTCATTTAATTTCTACTATTAGTTCAGTCTCTTCCTATGTATATATATATATATAATTCAAATTTTCAATCGTTAATAAAATATTTTTTATTCATCCACTCAAGTTCAAACACGTTTTTTTAAACCTGTACTGGATGACACTTGATGTTAATAGAGTTTTTTCAAATATTAATTCATTAATTAAAGTAAATTAATGAATAAATAGTAACAAACAAAAATAATAGTTCAACACCATATATAAAAAGGAAAATTGCTCGTTGTGTCACCGTATAGCAATGGATAGCGCGTTGGACTTCTAATCCAAAGGTCGTGAGTTGGAATCCTACCTGGGGTGACCTAATTTCTGAGAACGTGATTTATGAATGAATGTAATAAACAAAAGTAATAGTCAACACCATATATAGAAAGAGAAATTGTGTTTTCCATTTAATATTGTGATTTGTCATATGTTCATACATATTTATATTAATTGTAATTATTTAATAAAAAGTAACTATAAAATAAAACTTTTCTCTTTATTGACCTAAGTAGGAATTGACTTAAATTTTTTTTATATATTATTTGTTTAGTTGGATAACGAGAGACAATTTGAAAGTTTATAGAATTAAAAATAGAACCGTGTTTATATGTGTCGGTGATTAGTGGTGGCCACACACATAATAAGTTGTATATTTCAAAAGATAGAACACCTTCTATATAAGTGGCTACGGTAGACTAGTGGTCATTGTCACGAGTTCATGGCTGGTGTAGCATGAGTTCAAGCTCTTGCTCCACGGAAGACCTGCCGAAAATAGGGTTGGTTCACACATGATAAATCTGCCGTGGCTTAAAGTTCTCCCATTGCCGTGATGGAATAGTTTGGTAGGAGTGGTGTCAGAGCTCAGGTGCCCTCCCCGTTGCTTGATTGAGGTTCAAAATTACGAAGTTCGTCGCTAATAACCCACGTGTTATTTTATAGTGCGCGTTAATAACTTTAACTCAGAACACCACCTAACTCAAAGAGGCTTCTCGACCGGACATGTTAATTAATCTCGATTTGATAATTAAATTAAAAAAACCATTAAATTTCCCACTTAGTTCACACATTCTATTGCCTTTATAAAAACAACATTTACACCTAAAATGTGTGTGTTGTTTTTATTCAATTCCTACTATTAGTTCACTCTCTCCCTATATATACACTGGTGTTCATAAGTTAAGCATAAATCGTAAAATGCAAAAAAAAAAAAAAAAAAAAAAAACATTGGAGTAAATATTCGTAAAATTATTCCAAATTTCTTGCGGATATTAATTGGGTGAAGAAGAAACATTGGGTTTATGCAAAACTTTTCAGTCCACTACGTCCTGCGCGAAACACTGGTGCATGTCGGAAAGCGGAGAAACCGATTCATGCAGCATAGGCAGTTCAGACATGTTTCGTGCAACTGCTGTGCGAAGGAACGTTGTTAAACATCAAACAAGGTGAATGATGGCACAAAGACACCAACTGGACAGGTTTACGAAAGGAAGAATCGTTGGAATGCTGGAATCCTCACGATCACAAACCGAAGTGTCTCGAATTCTGAATGTGGACCAGTCTGTGATCTCAAGACTTTGGCAGAGGTTTCAAAGAACAGGAGATGTTACCCGACAACCAGTATCAGGTTGACCAAGAGTGACAACCCCTCGCCAAGACCGATATCTGGTAATAAGTGCGCGACGTCAGAGGGGCAGTACTGCCAGAGCACTGGGTTCGGCGCTCACAGTCGCCACAGAAATACGAATTTCGAGACAAACTGTTTACAGGAGACTCAATCATGCTGGCCTGTATGCCAGAAGACCAGCAGTTTGCATTCCCTTCCCGTTTGCGCATAAACGCGCTCGTTTGAACTGGAGTTTGAAACATCAACAATGGAGTGTGGGAGAGTGGGCCAATGTGATGTTCAGTGACGAGTCCCGGTTTGGTCTGAGTAGTGATTCTCGGCGGGTAACGATATGGAGAGAACGTGGAACACGTTTTGAATCAAGAAACATAACGGAAAGGCATCATTTTCCTTTAAGGGGAGTAATGGTATGGGTAGGCATCATGATGGACGGCCGCACACACCTCCATTTCTTTTACACGGGGTCTGTGACTACTCAAAGATGCAGAGACGAAGTTCTTGAGCCTTATGTTCGCTTGTTTCGAGGTGCTGTCGGTCCTGACTTCATATTCATGGATGATAATGCGCCATGTCACCGAGCGGTGCTTATTGATGACATCCTTGAAGCGGAAAACATCCAGCGCATGTCGTGACCTGGGAACTCCCCTGATTTAAATACTATCGAGCATGTATGGGATATGCTCGAGAGACAAATTGCAGCCCTTTCGCACCCACCAAGCTCCGTTACAGAACTGAAGAGAGCTCTCCAAGAAGCTTGGAACCGTTTCAGCCCACAACTCATTCATCATCTCATAGTAAGTATGGTAAATCGCTGTGCAGCATGCCTGGCTGTCAGAGGTGACCACACGCCTTATTAAACTGCAGCATTATTTTATTTAATGTTTTCTTTCATTTTTTGTTTAAAGTGTGAATCCTTGCTATGCTCAGTTTTCTTTCAAACTGCTACTTTGGATAATAAAATTAATTATTATCATTCTTTTGATTTGCTTCCCTATTTTATAACCATTTTACACTCGCATATCACGTTTCCCGCCATTCTGATTTACAGTTCCTTCTTTATTCACATAATTATCAATTATGCTTAACTTTTGGACACCAGTATATATATATATATATTTCTATAATCTTGTTCAATTTTTCAATCGTTAATAAAATATTTTCTATTGATTCATTCCAGTTCAAATATATTTTTTTATACTTGTAGGGGATGACACTTGATGTTAATACAGTTTTTCAAACATTAATTCATTAATTAAATTAAAAGATTAAAAAATACTAACAAAATTAATAGTCTAATAGCATATATAGAAAGGAAAATCGTTCGTTGTGTCCCTGTAGCACAATGGATGGCGCATTGGATTGCTAATCCCACCTGGGCTCGATTCCCACCTGGGACGGCCTAATTTCGGTGAACGTGATTTCTTTTTTACTATAATATTTCATTAGAATAATTAAATTTAATGAATGAATAAATGGTTAGAAACAAAAAAAAAATAGTCCAAAAAACCATATATAGAAAGGAAAATCGCTTTCACTGAATTTTGTGATTCTGTTATATGCATATACATATTTATATTAATTATAACTATTTAATAAAAAGTTACTAAAATGAAATTCTTCTTTGTTGACCTATGTAGGAATCAACTTAAAATTTTTTTTACATTACTTGTTTTTGTATTTTTTTGTTTTTTTTACCGACTCGATTTCAAATTTTTTTAAAATAGGTACCCTATTACAATACGTGAAAGGCTTCATTTTAAACAATTAAGATTTTTAGAGAACACTTAGTTTCGAAGTATTTTAAATTAAAATTCACAACGAACTTCAGTCTTAGAGTTCAGTGAATCAAAATCCAATTAACTTTGTTAATATATTTATCATGCATAAAATGGGGCAATAATTTTCATTTATATGGCTTTTTAATGATTACAAATGATTAACTTAATGTTTAAAAAACTAGTTACTTTTTAACGATCAATTAAATACTAATTTAGCCTCTGTGACATGTAAGTAGTTAACGGTAATTTCTGTTTTACTTAGTTTTGTAAGCAAATATTTTAACAACTTTTTAAAACTTGAACATTTCCTTAAAATTTTTGTGTCTCAGTGTAAATGGTTTTTCGTTATAGTAATTTAAATCTCATCAAGAGAGCAATCATCATAGCAAAGTGTTTGTTTTATATCGGCGACCAATATCGCCAAATGAAAAGACATCGCCAATTCAAAAAATGTTGTTAAATGATGTCATCGTTATTATTATTATGTTCGAATGTGTTTGTGAACGGCTTCCAGTATTGGCTGTATATCGTAGAATTTGGCGAAGTCTTTGATCAACAAAGAAGTCAAAGTGGATGAAATTGTTCGATATTATAACACGTAAGTACCTTATGGTAATATTTTCAAGTTTTTTTTTTATCTTAATGTGTTTAAAAAGCACTTACCTTTTCAGAATATTGATTTTAACAACAAATTAAACTATTTTCAAAACTATCAACCATTTTTTCCCGTACATCTGGTTAATTTTGTTCAAATAAAGTTCTAATATATTATGAAAAATTTGTATATATATTGAATATGAGCCTAATATAATTGAAACAGAAATATTATGAACTAGCAATTAAAATTTTATTGAGATATTAAATTTTTTATATTCACACTTCATAAGAGATATTTTCTTAACAGCATTTCTCTTTCTCTCTTTTTTTATTACAGCAGTGTTTGTAAGAGGTGCAATTGTATTTTCATATGAAAAAGGTAATATATCATCCACATTGCTTAAAAGTAGAAAAGAAAAAAACATAGAGAACAAAAATATCTCTTTCACTGATTATGAGATCTGCTGAACTATTAAACAAACAAACTTAAAATTTGGCAAGCACGTTTCTTGTGTTGAGTACAGATCCGCTGAGAATGAACTTTGGAAAAATCAACTCCCTTTCGAAAGGAGATTACAAGGACATAAATTATTAATTTTCTTCCGTTTTGATATTTAATCCTTATCTTTTTTATATCAAGATATGAGGGTTATAATAATTTTTGAATACAGTCGAAAGCTTAATGCTAGGACTTAGATATCAATAACTTAAAATACAATATGTCGGGCCTTGTGTAGCCTATTGGTTAGTGCATCGGACTCCAGACCGGAAGGCCTGGTTTCGATGCCCGATGCCACCAAATGCCCGCCGAGTGCAACAACAACAACAACACAATATATAGCCATACAACATCGTGTAATATCCTACCAAGCCGGTGGATGACAGCTATCAATATCATCTAAAAAACAAATTTCTTTAAAGAAAAATATTATACAATGCATGATAGTTATTTGATCCATTATTAGGTTTCAATAATGAGGCTAGACTCTAACCACTTAAACCTAGTAGGTAGCCTAGTGGTTAGAGCATCGGACTCCAGACCGGAAGGCCAGGGTTCGAAGCCCAATGCCACCAAATACCCTCCGAGTACACACGGAGCACGTGCTTTTTAAATCAGTGGGTCCGAAAGTCTTATGGGTGGTCGCAGCAAAAACCACGGGTGCAGGGGTGAATATATCCCTCCTCTCCAATTCTATGCCTAAATTGGGAAGTTGGAGATAGGTGGTGTCGCCATCTATGGTGTAGAAGTCCAACCTGGCTCAGGCTCTGGCAACTTTCATTCATTCCCTTCGGGGAGGACACGGCAACAATAATAAGATGAGTTTCAAATTTTTATCGGTAGAATTAAAGTTTACAAAGTTTATTATAACAGTTTACGAATATCCGTAGAATAAAAAAAACTTTTTCATGCATAAACTTTTCGATTACTTCTATAATTGAACTAATTTACATTTAAAATTGGTAGTTTCATTTTGCGGAAAAGCTTTATATTCTTCCTAGAACACTAATTAATCAATGTAGAGTTTAATGTAGTATATATATATATATATATATTACAAAAATATACAAAAAATAGTTATAAACCTAAGATAACTATAGTCATGATATAGTTACTTATATATATATATATAAGTAACTTATCACTTAAATAGAAAGTTTGAATGAATTAGAAACATTTTTTTGTCTTTGAAAGACTTATGTGAGTTCATATACGAAAAACTAATTTTAAAAATCACCACAACTCTTACTAAAAAAAAATTAAACACAATTTGATTTAAATTTTATCTCCCCAGAGCAATTTTAGTCTCTAAATAATGATATTTTTCAGCTAATTGCCTCTAAGTCATATTTTACTGCAATAAATGTCATCTTATATTTTTTTAGAATTTTTGAATTCTCTCAAAATTGGCTGTTTAAAAGCAGCAAGGTCATTCAAGAAGAAATAATTTAGTTATCGTCGGTTTTTACTAAATCATAAAATCGATTTTCATTTATTATATGATATAATAACGTCTGCAGCAATTTTTCGGGAAGCTTTTTCTCCTTTGTATTTATTATCTTCTTTTAAAAAACATTTTTTCTTAAAAATCGATTTGCATTATAATTTTTTTAATCCAGAGAAACGTTTTTAATCTTGTAATGTTTAGTGTTTGATATAAAAAATTACCAGCTCAGATTTTTTTTCATTTGACAGCCCTTTTCTTCCTTTTCCTTTCTGAGACAAAATATGTCTAACTCTTTTTCACTCCTTTCATAATGAAGTTACCGAATACCACGATAACCGAACAGTCATGGTCGCGATATTATGACTAGCATTGTTTCCGTCGAGCCAAATGCTCGAGTCCTGACACCACTGAAGAATCGTCGTGCAGTGGTAGTGATGCTTATAAAATCTGGCAAAATTTAAAAGTTCTTACGTTAAGTTGACTTTAAAGTTTGGAGAATAGGATTGTTTGTTCAAGTGTCACATTTGTGACTTCATACAGGATCAAAATTACGAGGTCTACGTTCCTAAGGGGCGTTTCGAGGGATTAAGGGGCGTAAGAGATAAATATTTCCGTTTTTAAACTACTAGACCTACCTGCTTGAAATTGGTAGACATGTTTCTTTCATAGAGTAAATATCCGCTACAAAATGGGTTTTGCAAAAATTAACCCCTGAGGGGTGTTGTGAGGGGTTAAGGGGTATTATAAATAATTATTCCGATTTGTAAACTTTTTGACGTACAGTCTTGAAATTTGGTAAGAAGATTCCTCTCATAGGGTAGAGATCTGCAACAAAATGAGTTTTGTGAAAATCGGTCTCCAAGTGGCGTTGCGGGGGTTCAAGGGGCATTATAGATAATTATTTCCATTTTTAAACTATTAGATCTACCTGCTTGAAAATTGGTCGGCATGTTCCTTTCATGAAATAGAGTTCCTCTAAAAAGAGTAAAAGGGAAATCGACCCCTAAGGAGGGTTGCGAGGGGTTGAGGGCATTTATAGAAAAAAAAATTCCTGTCTTTGAATTGTTAGATCCACATACTTTAAATTTGTTAAGCATGTTTTTTTTTGTTGAATATGGATCCACTAAGAATAGATTGTACGGGAATCAACTCTTGGGAGAAGCAGGGGTTACTGGGGCATATTGACAAAAAAAAATCCATTTTTGGAATTACAAGGACTATAATAATGAAATTTGGTTTGTATGTTTCTTTTGTTAATTGAAATCCGCTAAAAACGGTTATTTTGGAGAACGACTCTCAACGGGATTACGAGGGGTATTGATAATAAAAATTTCGTTTTTGCTCTATTAAATTTCGACTTGAAATTTGGCTTAAATTTTTATTTTAAGCTGTATAGATTCTTGGACTTAGATATCAATAATTTATATACAGTCGACTCTTGATAATTCGAAATCTTAGGGACCAATGAAAAACTTCGAATTATCAAGAGAGTAAGAAAAAATTCCCAAAATACACGAAATGAAATTTTTTCTAACACATTTAAATTTTCAACTATGTAATAAAGCAACACTTGTACAATATTACTTTAAAGTATTTTGAAAAAGTACAACATATTATACAGTATAAATAGTTTTATACTGAAGTTAAAAGTCTTATACTAAAAGTATATATTTATGTAGTAATTCTCGATCAGGACTCTTTCACGCCCCACCAAATCTTCCATTCCTCATTGGAAATAAAATCGTTTCACACCTGATTTCTCACTGTCCCCAGCACTATAGGTTCTTCAAGGCAGGGTCCAGTCCAGCCCATGCCCTATTTGGTGCCACATGCTATAAGTTACACACATGAGCTATAAATCGTCATGTCAGTGAGGAGCAAAGTACACAATCCTACACATTTCTTCTTCACAATAGCGCACCATCCTTTCTGAACACACGTGTAGCAAGGCCACGTGTTAAGCGAAGGATATGGCTGGCTGATAATAAGTGCAACCAGAACTGTCCACTTGAAGAAGGAAAGCAATAAAAGTGCTTTTTCGCCTGAGGAACCGGGAAACACAAAGAAGAGGTATCA